GAACTGACAGTCAGACGCTATAATCCACTGACTGAAGCAACGCTCACACTCTAACCTGCTTGTTGTGGTGTGATAGAAATGTAGGTGCTTTCAGCTCACCTTAGTTATGTTGGTCAAAGTTTTGCTGTGACACTTTGAGGCATGCGGGGAAGGTTCTCACTGACACTGACCAATGGATTAGTTACCTTTAGTGCAGATAGAGACTGTCATTAGCACAATGACAGTCTCAAAAACACATATTCAGACTTTTGGGGTATAAGGAAGGAAGCTCATTCTTCCTCTGAGTCGGCTTTGATTATTCCAGTATTACAACTTGTCATTGTATAACGTAGAGTAGCTTTACAGTGTCCGAGCATAGCTGAGATGAACTGGTGTGCTCAAGTTGCCATCAGTGGGATGGCGTGAGTGAAAGGAGAGGTATGAGAGGTATGTACGAATTGTAGAGAAAGCAAGCGAGCAAAAGTTACCTCTATTTTAAGGCATGAAGAGATTATTTTCATGGAAATAAAATCTACATTTTTAACTTTGATGCACATTTTCAGTTTTAAATCCATAACCAGAGAGGGATTTTAATGACTTATACATATGGAAAATGTCTGCGCTGTTCCTAGATTGCCTTTTGGAAAGATGCCACACGGCCCTGACTGATTGATAAAAAGGATGCACATGTCAGCATTGCCACGGTTTGGCTGCTAGCATCACAAAAACAAAGAGAAAATTTGGTTCAGAGAAATTGAAAAGAAATTCCAGGTGCAGTGATGTATATACATACATCTTTACTCAATGTCTACACGTGCACAATGCCCAGTGTAACTCTTTAGACTGAAGTATTTGCAAAAAGATGCTCATAGCTTGCACGTAAATATCATGATGTCTACCATCTTGTTTGGTTCTCCCTGACCTGTGCTTGTTGTATATAGGCCTCTGGGTTATTCAGGCCTAAAGGTTCTGCTTTACATAACAGAAATGTCTCTAGAAACAAGTTCTTCGTGGTGAAGCCTTGTAGATGCTTTCAGGTAGGGTACCTGCTTAGATAAACAGTGTAAGTTGGTGATAAAATCATGACAAAAGAGTCAGTTTAAGCAATATTCCACAGATTTTTCAACACTATAATTTCAGACAACTTCCTACAGTGACTACATAACACCTTGAAATATTCTTCCAAGTTGTATTTTAAGACTAACAAATTACACATCCTAAATGTTAATCTTTTGTTTAAGTTGGCACAGATTTAGTTCTGCTGTCACCACAGTGAAGCGTTCAGTTCCCTTCAGTGGTTTGCTTGTCTCCTCACAACAGCAAACTCAGCCTCTGTGCTGCTTGTAAGCTCTGCTCGACAGAAAAGATGACAGCATTTTCTGGTTGTTCAAATGCTTCAGATGCCATTAGTTTATCCTGGCATTCTGGCATTGATATACTTTTTTTGTTAAATTGTGACTTGGATTAAAAAAAAATGTAAATAATGTAATTTTGCCTTCCAGAAAATAAGCAAAAACTTTATTTTTTTTATATAAATTATGTTTTGCTGGATTTCTTTTAGAGGCCTTTATCAGGTGTTTGGTAGACATATTAAGTGTTATTTGATGTTTAATTCAGTTGCACTTAAGTACCAAATAATTCAGTGACTGTAAGAGAAGCTGAGGTGTGAAGGTAGCGACAAGCAGTGAGTGAATGATTCAAAGTGGGTGGAAAGAATCCTGCAAAGATGCACATGAAGACACAGAGGGTCAGAAGAACAGACAGAGTAAGAGATGGTGTGTCACAGGGAGATGTTCTGTTGTTAGCTCTGCCATGTCAGTCGCTCACTGTTTCCATATTTAACACTCTTATACGTTCCAATGTAAAAATGTATGTCCTGTGTTCTTTAATTAATTGGAAGCGAGTTTCTGAACACATAAAATCTGTTCCGGAAATGCTACTATCTAGAAGAAACTGTAGTTTCTCCTCTTTCTCTAGTTGGACCATCCTTCATGCCCCCTTTTTTCAAATGTTACACAGTAAGTTGAATTCAATTCTGCTACATGCTGCACATCCACACTTTATTAACGCATGAAGTATTTTTTCTGACCCCATTGCAAACCTCCATAATTGACAATCAGTCATTCGCTTTTGGCAATAGTTGCAGCACTAGATGCCATAAGAAGTGTTTCACAGTTATGACTGTTTTGAGCGTGTAGGTTCTCTGAAGAATGATTGTCTTTCTCTTTTTGTATTTATCCCTCTCCCTGTGTTGTGCTGAATAAATGTTTCTACTTTAGCATCACATCTACAAATTACTTTAGAAATCTAGATTTGACATAAAAACCTCGTGTCCTGTCAATAAAAAAAGATGCACAGTGTTGGATGAAACGCCAAAATTCTAACTGCTTTTTTTAAAAAAAGAAAAATCACAAAAAAAAGATCTCTTGTACACTCACACTCACAGTCTACCTTAAAAATGCTTGTTTGAGTCATAAAGTGTACATTGAACAGCAGTGCCATACTGTGGCTGAAGAACAGATTTCCCCGTAGCACGTAAATGCAGTTTGAAATGTAAGCTTCAGTACAGAAACGTCTTCGGGTGTTTGTCTTCAGGAGCTGTGATTGGTCGTAACCTGCTGTGTACACCTGTAATGGCTTCCCCCATTCACAGAACAAGCTTGTGTAAGCTCCTGGAGATTCCTCATCCCTCACCACCTGTCTTTTTGCCTTGTTGCTCTGTCTAATCCCTGAGCGAGATGGTAGACATTATTAGGCGCCACGCACTCACCGGCTCCCTGTTGCTCCTGTTAGTCAGACAAGAGGCACCATTCCGGCTCTATTTGCATGGCGTCTCGCTGGTGGCAGAGAAGCAGATAGAGAGTGAAAGGGATAATAAGAAGCTGTGTCTCTGCCATTGGGGAGTCATAATTTACTGTCATGGACTAAAAGCAAATGCTTCTTTCCTCATTTTTTTTTTAGATATCGTTTTCTTAGACTCTCTTTTTTTTCTTTTTAATATTCTCTTGGTCGATCTCTCCCCTCTGCTTCGCTTATCTCTGCCGGTGCTTTCCGTCCTCTGCTATCTCCGTTGTCTTCTTCATTTTCACTCTTCATTCACTCCCTAATTACTCTTTCCCTGTTTTTTTGTCTTTCCTTCACCTCTTGCTCTTCTTTCTGAAATCACTACCAGTTTCCAATCTTGTCAATTTTTATTAGCTTCTTTCTCTCTTCGTGCTCGCTCTCTTAATGTAATTTTGGCCACTTACCACTGGTTTAAATACAGCTATGATTCTTGATGAAGGAGTAGAGCCAACACAAAGGAAACGAGCAAAAAAAAAAAAAAGCACAATATTAATAATTGTATCCCAACTTTTGTTGCACCGTAACGTTATCTGGCAAAACATTTCAGTAGCCAATCACACATCTACAGTCACACATTCATAGGAGAGGACACTGTAACGTGAACAACATGTTTCTCTTGTTTCACTCGTGATTATTAAGACATAAGATAAGATGACTGCTGCTGTGATAACTTTGCAGAGCTTTAAATTCGGTCCAGATAGAAAACACTGTGCAGTCTTTTGGCATCAAATAAACCTTCACACTTCTACACCCTGGATTTAGATTCTATCTTCTAACAAACACCGCTATCAGCCTCAAGGTCATTCTCTGAGTTTTTGTTTGTGTGCCTGTTTTAACACCTTGGTGTTTTTTTGTCTGAATGCTCTGTACCACCACAATGAATGTAATGCTGGATAAGCAACACCGTTAGTTGTGATAACCAGCCTGTTGACTGTTAGTGGATCTGTCACACCGATTCATTTAAACAAACTAACAGACAAATGTACAGCCCTGTTTGCCCAAATGAATTTTGCTCACCTTGTGATTTGTAACAATTTTAGCAATCAGGGAGGTTATTGACTAATTGTTAATCAGTTAATTGAAGATAATAACACAGTTAATTTTTTTTCTAGTTGTCAAGCAATCAAAACCCTAATTGCTAAAGTTTTGAAGCTCAGTGTGTTGGCCCTGTCCATCACTGTTTTGGTCGTGAGAGACTCCTCCTACATGCGGGACAATCCAATAATGGGTCGAGGTGGCACTAAGGCAGGCCATGCAAACATTTCTGGGTCATGGATTTTGACAGTACTCAGCTTTAACTCAAAGTTGCCATAGCATTATGTATGCACAACCTGAATACAGTTTTGTGTGGTATATAAAAATTCATGCTGCTCCATGTGTCAGTAACAGGATAATGTGTTATAGAGACCAAAACCATTTGGTGAACCAGACTGTAAACCTGTTTTTTTCTGTTGTAAAGTTGGGTATTTTAACATTGGGTTCTATAGGGACTGACTCACTTTTGGAGCCCGCCTCAAGTGGACATTTGAGGAACTGCAGGTTTTGGAAATTCTACTTTGGCCTTAGTTTTCAGCCCCAGAGGATGCTGCTTGTTAAATGGTAAAGCGGTTAAATAGTTGATGTGCTGTGTTACCTGGTGGAGCCTCTTACTGTTTAATGAGGTGGAGTTAAAGGCGTGTTTGCAGACCGCCCGTAACAGTGCACAAGTGCACCTCACTACAGTCTAACTGCTAACTGTGGCAGTCCTGTTAGTGAACTATGCAGCACCAAGCTGTAGAAGGGTGTTGGCAGCTGTGCAGTTTGACGAGTTACTTGAGGTTCATGCTGATTGTAAACTAGGATTTTCAAACGGTAGCACAGGCTGGGAGCTGTGTCTGTCAGCAGAAACCAGCTGCAGTTGCTAATGCTGCTGAGGTTCAGGAGCAGCCGGACTCTGATTACATGCTTCAAACAACATTCAAACTAAAATGATGGAGTATATCTGCAATACTCTGAGTCGTGCCAGTAAATGCTGACAGATTTTCTGGACTGACAAAATTGCTGCAACAGTGTTTGTCAGCATCCAGTCCAGATGTGCAGCTGTTTCCAGCAGCTGCATTAACGTTAACTACAACGCACAATTCATTCTGCATGTAGATCAGGTACGAGGATTATTCTGTTATCAAACCTTTGTGAAGAGATCAATAATATAAAAGGTGGAACTGCAGCTCATTTTGTTGTGTTCTACACAATCGCTGAATAACAATTTTAAATAAAGTCATTGTTTATTTTTTTAAATTAATTTTAAAATCATGTAACCTGGTGTTTACTTTATACGCTGTTCAAAGTCAAATTATAACTGATCTGATTATGCAGCGAACAGCAAGCATCATTGGTTAAAATTGGTTTTATCAGGAAATGGACAAAGATCCACTGTATTCAATTATTTTAAATAATTAATCAGTTGTTTATTGTTAACGTGGCCGACTGTCAGGTAAGGACATTGTTTAAAAGTTGGATCCTGAGTAGAGATTGATGATGACAATCACATAATGATGCAACATCAACAAAACAAAGAAACAATAATGTTTCCGCTGCTTAAGAAGCAAAAAAACAACTTTTATTCTCATTCACTCTTTTAAGTGGCAACAGTGGGACAATCCTGCGGAATGTGAATGCTGCAACGCCCCCACTTTCGCTGAAATGCTGCTTTATCCACCCACATGTGCAAAAAAACTACCCTGAGCTTTGTATCTGAAAACAAACACACACTCGCACACAAACACACACGCTTGTTTTTAATGGCAGGAATGTCAGTGTTTCCTCAACCATCAATTAATAACAATATAAAGAAATGCTAGTTAAAAATAGTGGTGGACCACCACAGTATGATTGGATACAGTCCTGTATATTTATGATGTTGCATTATTGTCCTCCACAGAGGGGAAACTTTTTACTTTAAATTATTCACTATTTTACTGCTACTTACTTAAATTCACCATTTTTGAGTAAAAAACTAGCCCCTGTTTCTATTGTCTGGAGTCTGATCTGTGAGGCCTAAGATCCCTGGACGAGGGCTCCTTCCTTCTTACAAATTTTACTTTCATTTTCAGCTTCTCTTTGTGTAATTGTTATATATAAATCAGTTTAGAAACTCGTAAAATAAACATTACTTTATAGTAAGAAATGGTTTTACATCACATCATACATGAAAACCTGATATTAGTTTACTGCTATTGAAGTGAAGGAAAAACAGAAATGCAGGCAGTGAATTGTGATTTAATTGATTAATAAGAGGGGATTACTCACCTCCCTCTTCCACAGCCCCACCCCCTTTTAAAATTGTTGATTCGTTCCTGCTCTTTATCTTAATTTTAAAACTCTAAGTGGGTCCGTGTTTCTGATTAATGCATGTGCTGCTTTTTTCTTGAAAAAGCACTGTCGCAGTGTGCATGACTGAGTGTGGGGACAAAGAACATATGAGCTGGACCCTTACTGAGCTGCCAGCACTGACAGATGCTCAGACATGGCTGTAGAGGGAGAAAGCTCTTATTCAAAATATAGAGTTGCAGTTAGTCAGTATTTAGTATATTTGATCCTTGAAAGAGCTCATTGTTCACCGAAATTCTCTTAATTTCAACAGAAATTTGAATGTTGTTAGCATTGCTTGTTTGGTTTTAGTAAAACTATTAATTAAGTCATTAGCAGCAAAATGGGTGAATTCATTATCATTAAACGTATGAATAAACATCCAGGCTACTGTTATTTATTATTTAAACTCACAATACAACATTCATTGTAGCTCTCCTGTGTCGGCTGATTTATTTCATTGTTATTACACTGTATGTGTGTGACTCATTCAGATACATGAGTTCATCAGATAGTAACTAAAGTGACCCCGTAAAATAAAGCAGACAATCCCAGGAACCTGTTTGTGACTGGATGAAGTCATGAACAAGGTGGGTATGGTGGGGGTGGGGGCGCTTGGACAGTTGGGTTTTCTGCGCTTCACTGAATGCTGGTAAGTGAGCCAGACACTGAGGCTGGGGATAGCCCAGCATCAGCAAGCAGAGGGGGGGAAGGTGGACAGCAGCTTCTAAGGGAAATCAAGGTGAACTCTGGAGAGTTTTAACTGCACTGTTTAGAGCAGGCCCATATAACAAAGTCTGGGTACTTTTTGTGGCTTTATAATGTTTCTGCTTACAGCTGGTTCAAATCATATTCCTTTAACCTCCGTTGCAGTTGTCACAACAAAATGTATAAATGTACAAAATGGAGCTTTGTAATGTATGGTAAATGTAGAAAACTAGGATCCTTTTCTAAACCTAACTAAGAAGTTTTAGATTTAACCAAACACCAGCTGAAAACACAGGTGAACACACATTATTATTATTATTATTATTATTATGGTTCAAGGCGGGACATGAACTGAACTTGTCTCTGTGAAACTCTTTTGGCTTGTGCTCCAGCAGCTGCTCTCAATTGTGGACTTTTTAGTGTAAAATCGTGGCTCCACCGTCATTAAATGACACGACAGTAAGGTTTCATTAAACAGGGGGTCACTCTCATGCTGAACTTGTTAGAAGGTGCAGGAGGTTCCTACTGGCCCACATGAATGGAAGGAATTAGAGATGATAACAGCGATTTCATGGTCTGTAACATCCAATATGCCCTCTTCAGTTACAGCCTGACCTCTGTGTTTAATTGAAATCTTGTTAATATTACACAGCTCATCCTGCAAAACTCATATTTGACATTTTGCTGAAAAAAAGTTCAAAAGGATCTGGTGCCAAAACAAATCTTGCATAACCTAAGAACAAACACTTTATAATCCACCATACACTGGATTCTAGAGACATATGCTGATGTGGTTTTCACTACCCTTAAACCACTAAAGGCTGTGGAGTCCAGTGCCATTTGATTATTTACTGCAGACAACTGTCCACTGTGAGTTATATATACTGTGACTGGCTGGTAATCACTGGCATCTTGAACACATCAGCAAATCTATGTCTTCATTTATAAGACATTGTTCTATAAGCTGTCTAGATATTTAGTTGAATTCAGAGTAAATAACCATCTGTATCTACATATGTGGCAGGAAACTGTTTGGATTCAGATTTGGAATGGGCCTGGTTTAAACTGGGTGGAGTCCTAAATTATTTAGTTGTTTCCTTCCATTTCCACTACTTACACAGACATCGACAAGTTCAATTACAGTATCTTAAGCATGTAGTCATGTGTGAAAATAGAGCATCATGTCAGTAAGTCAGAAACAGTAAGCCAGGACTGCTCTGGGTTGTATTGCATGAAAACTGCAGGTTGTGTATTTATTAGGAGAGCTCAGTAATAATACAAGTAATAGCAGTATTCATCTCTAATGCAGTTAATCTAATGTGCTTCCACACAGACAGATCATCTCTATATTTTGAGTTTTGATTCGTTTCCATGTTACACTGGACGATTGGGATGTTTGAAACAACTGCAGTTGTGAAATCTTCCAGAAAGTCCTTTCCACTGTTTCCCCCTTCAGGCTGACCTTTGATGATGACACATCGTCCTTTTGAGGGTTACATCGACGTATAAACAGAATTTGGCTTCCAAAGAACAGAAAGTCCCTAGATTCCCTAACGCCTAGCTCAACCAGGCCTCCAAAACAAATACAAAATTTATCATCTGTTGCACAATTAAAACAATTAATAATCATAGTTGGTGGATTCCAGTTGGCAGGAAGAGCAAGAGGAGCAGGACACTGGAAACAGGAGTGAGACGCTGCCAATATTAGAAAAACTTGTGGGATGTGTAGAATGGTCTGACTCCATCTGGTCTGGTATAGAGACAAAAAAAAAAAAAAAGATGCTCTATTGTGTTTATATATATTTTTAACAATCAAAGTTGTATTTGATGATCTAAGAACAAGATGCTGCACTGAAAATAGACACCTGGGAATTGTTCTACAACCACAAATCAAACCTTTGGTAAAACTTTTTTCAGTGTACAGGTTGCTGTGCAAAGGTTGTTCTTGTCGTTTTTCATACTGAAGGAGATTTTGAAGATGACAGCACACAGGTAGTGAATGAAATGTACGGCCAATGGCAGGCTTTTACCCACAGCGTACATGTGGTGAGTCACACTTTGCCCATAGAAGAAGACAAAAAAAGAAAAAAAATAGAAAAACAAATAATTTCTTTTGAGACTGTACTGAGTCAACATCCGTGTCTTTAAAAAAATGATGACTCACTGAGGTGTTATTCAGACTTCATGGCCTCATGTCACGTCGAACAATTGCTTTCACAGCTAGCTACATGCTTCCTGCGTCAGGCTCCACAAACAAAATGTCCTCAAATACATAACTGCAGCTGACCAGTGGACACATGGTTCTAAACATTTTAACCACACTGGTCTGTGAGACCACTGACTCAATGATTTATTTTCTCTTCCTCCTTCAACAGCGAAGTGACCTGAATAAACTAAAATCAAGGAGAAGCCAGTAAACATGTTGAATAACGCAGTGACATTTCTGTGTGCCGGCTGTTGACATGTTCACAGAGGCCATTACAGTTTTGGTGAGGAAAGGGCAACGTCATCAGGCGCGAGAGCATGGTTCATGCTAGTGTGTTGATTGTTAAGGACAGTGCACACCTGCAGTGGAAAGAGCAGGTCAAAGCACATAGCATGCTGGAGCCATGGTGAGTAAAATAGTCTGTGTGAGTGACCCTCCATAGTAAATTACGTGTCACCTGCAGCATACACAGAGTCTCCACAATCATGGTCCATGCCATCTGTAGTGCTCCACACTTTAACATCAAGGGTAATAACATGCAGAATGTGTGCTTTAACATAAGATACCATGAGCCCCTCAACCAAGTGTCTGCAATTGACTGTGGTTACCGAAACTAGCTTCATACTCTCCCCATAATATTTATTTTGTATGACTGACTCTTGAGTCCATGTTGAGTACAACGGATGAATACAAAGTCTGTTATGGATGGCTGTAATGTATGCTTTCAGACATCACACTATAGTGCGTACAGTGAGTCACATACAGTAGAAATAGTATCTAAATATAACAAAAGGCATCTAGGACCTACAACACACTAACATCTTGTCATGTGATCTACACTAAAGCCAGTTTTGGCAAGCTGCTCACACCCGAGCTGTTCATGCAGTGCCATACTGTGCTGTGTACCTTGCTGGCAGAAATCATATGCCAGCA